TAACTAATTTCAATTGATTTTTAATAAATTCAAAATATAACTCCTGGTGACATGTATAACGGTCGCCCTGAGGCTCAGGTCGTCCCGATTGCATATTCGGGTTCATCGACCCTCAAAACCTTCGAGTAACTAATTTTAATTGATTTTTAATGAATTTAAAACATAACTCTTGATGAAGACGTGTATGACGGTCGTCCTGAGGCGCAGGCATCTCGGAGGTCGTCCCGATTGCATATTCGGGTTCATCGACCCTCAAAACCTCCGAGTAACTAATTTCAATTGATTTTTAATAAATTCAAAATATAACTCCTGGTGACATGTATAACGGTCGCCCTGAGGCTCAGGTCGTCCCGATTGCATATTCGGGTTCATCGACCCTCAAAACCTTCGAGTAACTAATTTTAATTGATTTTTAATGAATTTAAAACATAACTCTTGATGAAGACGTGTATGACGGTCGTCCTGAGGCGCAGGCATCTCGGAGGTCGTCCCGATTGCATATTCGGGTTCATCGACCCTCAAAACCTCCGAGTAACTAATTTCAATTGATTTTTAATGAATTTAAACATAACATAACTCCTGATGACGGTCGCCCTGGACCCCAGGTTATAAAGTTTGTAGACGGTCCCACAAATCGAATGCAATAAACCGAAAATCTCTATCTGACTTACTGCACAAAAATTCGAAGGTTTGGCCTAATTTTGTGCTTTATTTCCTCGACTTTTCTGAAAAAGGTCCGAATCGTGTGAAATTTTGTATTTATTAATTTGGAGCCTATTAATTAATTCTATTTAAAATAAAATTGTCATACCAAAGATGCAGCGGCACACAGCGACCCCTTCTAAAACAAAACAGTAGTTTAGACCGGAATTTTGGACATTTCTTTAATTAAAAATACTTGATGGTTATTGTTATTATTAGTTATAATTGTTATTAAGTTATTTTGCGTTCATTAAAAAACAACATATAATACGCTTTTGCGAATGCCATATATTTTTTTTGCATCTTTTTTTATTGCTTAATAAGCTTTTGCGCATACATAATCTGTTTGGACTTGATTTGCCATTATTTTAATAACTGAAATTTATCAGCGAAGTACCGATAGTTCCGGCATATTTCTTATCAAACCTTATGATTAAAATAATAATTAATGTAAGTTATAATCCATAAATGTTCGTTCATAATAGTTCTTAAAACTTGTCTATAAGTCACAGTAATGTGATAATTTATTGTATAAAAACGATAAAACTGAAACTCAAACAATATGAAATAATATTTAAAAAAAGCATTAAAATTAAATTAAAGCATAAATACTAATTAAACGTGTTTAAATAATTATAAATGTAATTAAGAAACGTTAATGAGAAGGTGGTGTGCCCCCATACAATATTATTTAATTTGATAGGAAAAAACGATTGATATTTCTTTACAAATATTACGGATCAGCAAAACCACACCAACAAAACCAAGATAAAGACTTAATTTTCAAGACCATCGGGTTAATTGGGTGGTGTCAATATATATTTTACGTATAATTTTATTTGATGTAAAAATCATTCTTTTTTTTTACTATGATTGGTTTTATCATTGTTCACCATTATTAAAAATATCAGGGAATCACGTTCACCCTGTAGACAAAATAAATGATCTATTTGTATTATTGAACGTGCAAATTTTTTTTAAGGGATAATAAGCACACCGCCTTCTTTCCAAACAAAAATTAAATTTAACCAAGGGTTAGTAAAAGGAAAATAATAAAAAAAACCTGTGTGTACATACATGGCTTACTTTTGAAGTATGCGTTCGCAAACTGGACTCGGTGGCGAAACCCTTTCCGCATATGTTGCAATGGAAGGGCCTGTTTTTCGCCCTTTCCACCTGCGCGTCGTGGTTGCGAAGGTGCTGCTGAAGATTCGATAGTTGAATAAAGGCCCGGCCGCAGTCTGGTAGATGGCACTTATACGGTCGTTCACCTGTACCAAAAAAAAAATTATTAATTTTCCTTGGATACATACATAGTAGAATATAGAATATATCTTGATAGGCGTAAGAAAGTTGAAGTCAAATGAATGGAGTTCCGCAAGGGACTAAAATCGGGCCGATACTGTTGACTAGTAACCTTGAAAAGCTGTAAATAGAATTCCACAATGTACAACGGATTGGACAGGCATTTTGTTAAGGAAAAGTGGCAGTGAGATTATTTAGGATTTAATATCAATACATACTTGTGTAGATATAAGTATTAATAGACTAAAATGGAGTTCCTCAAGGCCTTAGTGCAGGGCCAATATACTTAAAAATATGAGAAACGTTCTACTCTTTTTGTGTTTCTTTTGATTCTCGAACCCCTCGGAATGGTAACGTCTTAAATGACTTTTCGATTTGTTTTTTTAATAAAAGAAGAGTTTCCCTTCGCAATTTCGGTATCGAACTGGTTCCTCTTATATTAAAAATGTGAAAAGAAGTTCACGGCCAATTTGGATCGGATAATGGAAGTTTTAATTCGGCAAAATTCTTTCTTCCATTCGGCGACAGTTTTTTAATAAAGGAGTTATTAGTTTTATTGGACAGAATATCGACGGATTAAAACGGAGGGTGGCGTTGAGGATTTTCGCCGGGGCAAGACGCTGTCGGACTCGGATATTTCGAAAAAAAAATACCCAGGAATTTTTGCAATATTATCGGCTGTGATGAACATTCGACGAAAATAAAACGAACGTTTGACATACGATATTAAATAATTTTCTTCTTCTTACGTTATCTTAATATAAACATACATAATAATAATGCTGCTAAATAAACGGGACACTTTCTTGCTTGAAGATATACAAAAAGGATATTCACTTATTTGTAAAAACAGTTTTAGTGAAAATAAGATTATCTACAGCATATAACTATTTATAGGGTAACAAGTAAAGTATGACCTTTGTAACCGATGTTCCTTGAGTTATTGGGAGAGTATTCTATTTTTTCAGTCTTTTATTCCAGCTGAATCGTCTCTTTATATTAAAATGCATGCAACTAACTATACATCTGAATATAGACTTTTAGTTACGCCCTTCCATTTTTTACAATTGTTTATTTCCAACTGGAAATTCCTGATTATTAATTATAGATTCTATTTAATCAAAAGTATATCAAAGAAACNGACCTTATGATGATGATATATTTTCCTTTAAACCAGACTTAGTGAGCCACATCATTAAAACCAAAACGCCTTACGTCAGATATGGTATATACAATTTCTTGATTAAAATCCCCTAGCACTTCGTCGTTTATTTAATATTCATGTAAGTACATGTGTTTTGTTAGCGTTTAACTGTGAGTATTATAATTATTTGTTTTTATCGAATAAAGGAAGTAATTTATCCACCCTTTAGATGTCAGCGTTCGTCGTGTGCATACGTACGTATCTACCTACATTCATGCGTGTAGATACGCGATAATACGGTCACACGTCGATGTGAGTATGTAAATAAATAATTAATTCGTGGCTCCGTTTAACATCGGCCGTTCTTCCGCGATGAGAGTGACTTTTTTGTGGCCCTTTTTTTCGTCCACGGTAATAATAACACATCAGGTACCGTACGCATATGGTCAAGTAAATCAAGCCGAAAATTGAACCGCGAGGGTGCAAACGGAACGGGTTACGACGATCGAAAGAATCAACCGGGCCGTGGCGGTAGCATCTGCTTTCCTCCTGCTGGTCTGGTCTCAGTTCACCAGGTCACTGTGACTCCACACCGACATTAGCGTGGTATCGTCATTATTATTGTTGTTGTTGTGGGTCGTCGAATAAAATGCGAGCATCGAAGTAAAAATTGAACGGGGTTATCGGCCTTCACGACCTACATCGAATGCTTAAATTAGTTTTTATTGTCGTATCATCACCGTTCCATTTTATTTATTAAATAGACCACTGGCGACGATTTTGTGCAGTGGAGACAATATCAATAGGCATCTACTAAAATATCATGGAGTTTATTAACCAAGCTGAACTGGTGCTGACCTGTATTAAGGAGTATTGCATTACAAGCTACATATAATAGAAGATGTGCTTTCGGTTAAACCTGATTTCAGGATAAACTAGTTTTGTGTAAGTTTAGGTTGGTCTGGTTTGAAATTTAAATACTAATTAGGTCTAGGAAAACCCAGATTATCCTTAAATATTGTTTGACTGGTAACTAGGACTAGGCGAAACTGCTTCATAATATTGCTCTTCATATAAACTGGTTTGGTCTAGGCAAAACTAGTTTATCTTTAAATAAGGCTTGTCTGGTAACGGATTTAGAACAGACCCATTGGGACTAGGTGAAATTGGTTCACATTATCGCTCTTTGGATAAACCGGTTTATCCTGAAATATTGTTTGGCAGGTAACAGATTCAGGACAAACTAGTTTGGACTAGTCTAAACTGGTTCATAATATTACTGTTAGGATAAACTGGTTTGACCTAGACAATACTAGTTTATCTTGAAGTAGGATTTGACTGGTAACGGATTTAGAACAAACCCATTTGGACTAGGCGAAATTGGTTCACATTATCGCTCTTTGGGTAAACCGGTTTATCCTGATAAATTTTTTGACCGGTGACAGATTCAGGACAATCCAGTTTGGATTAGTCTAAACTGGTGCATAATATTGCTCTTCGAATAAACTGATTTGACCTAGGCAAAACTAGTTTATCTTGAAACATGTTTTAACTGGTAACGGATTTAGAACAAACCCATTTGGACTAGGGGAAATTGGTTCACATTATCGCTCTTAGGATAAACAGGTTTATCCTGAAATATTGTTTGACCGGTAACAGATTCAGGACAAACCAGTTCGGACTAGGCAAAATTGGTTCATAATATTACTGTTAGGATAAACTGATTTGACCTAGACAATACTAGTTTATCTTGAAGTAGGATTTGATAGGTAACGGATTTAGAACAAAACCCATTTGGACTAGGTGAAGTTGGTTCACATTATCGCTTTATCCTGGAATATTGTTGGACCGGTAACAGATTGAAGACAATCCATTTCGGATTGGGGAAACTGGTTCATTATATTGTTCTTTGGATGGACTGGTTTGACCTACGTAAAACTAGTTTATCCTAAACTCGGGTTTGATCTTAAACGTTTTAAATAAGTAAAAGTTAGTATTTTCGACACTTGTGTTCGTTTAGCTATTCAGTATATATAAGGAACAGTACGTTGTTCGTAGGTCATATAGTTACGCACAGAGAGACAGATAGATACATAGATATAGAGAAAAGCGTAGTTACTATCGAAGTCTTGGTGGATTGTGAACACTCTGTTGTGCACGATTTTGGTTGCGTCTAAAGAAGGAAAAAGGGCTTGACCAGGCCGATGGCTAAAGCGATATCTCGACTTTATTATTGTGGCACTTGCTTTTGCCTTTTCAGCGGGGCCCATACGGCACTGGGCACTCCTCTTTAGATAATTCTTTAGCGGCCGCATGTTACTCCAACCGACTACATATAGAAAGGTGTAGTATCATTATTAAACGATTGTATGTGAACCTATTTTATTAAACAACTTATAGCACATGTTCTATTATTCATACTGCTTCATGTTATCATGGGCAAATAAAGTGGGACATATGCAGCATACAGAGTTAGTTATGACTTATGTACATCCTACCCTACTAACAGAGCCACAATTTTTAACTAAAGGGGAGGTTTTAAAGGCTGCAAATATCCACTTCTATAAACCATGCATAAAATTACTAGCCGAACACTCTCCATTTAGTTTGTTGATTATTTATCTGAGAATTATTTAAATAGCGAGCATAATTGTAATCGAAAATAAAATGTAAGAAGTGAGTCAAGGTGGTGAGGCGGGTGACCGCCTTCAGTTTGAGAGCTCAATAAGGAAGAGATAGGATGGTAGAACACCTTTGGAGACATGAAGGACTAATTAGAGACAAAATCAGAAGCACGAAGAGTTAGAAATGTTTAATGTTCTATTTTAGACATAGGATAAGAAAGAGTGGAGGTGCGTGTCCAACCAATTTAGTAAGTTCGAATTAATCAGAATCATCTTCTATGAACAAAATTGAAAAAAGTTTAGTCAACTTTGACCTTTCTCCAAAATCAATTTGCAGTACGTTGAATTTACTATCAGTCCCACTTGTTGCGGTCACTTTTTAAATTCGATTGCATAACAAAACAAGTAAGTATTGCGTCGTTTTGTGCAAGGCGATGCCGTTCGATTTCGCGTAAACTAAAAGTCGAGGCTGAAGCGTATGATAAATGTTCGAAATTTGCCCGTTTCTGTTAACGTGTGGAGTCCGTACAACACCGTCGTTGTTCCGCGCATTGTTGGCGTTGACTTGGCGGACAGTCGGCGAAAGAACGTCCAGCTACACGTCCTCCTCGTTCAGGTGGAAATTCAAGAACCACTTTCTCTTCCCGCACCATGCTTAAGCAATAACAACAACAGCAATATCTATTTAATTTAATTCAGTTCAGTTGCAATTACAATTACTTCAAACCATCTTCAGACATACGGATATTCAATTATGTACTGATGATATTCAATTATGTACCTGTACCTTCTATAGAGTATAGTACGACAATTTTTTGCTTTTTTGATCCTAGGAACAATTAAGTGTGGAAAAGTATATGTCTTATCTTGAAGCAAGCCATTGGATTTCTGTTTTCTATCTTAATAACCTTTGTTCTTGTTCAACTACAGAATCCTTGATCTGAGCAAATCCTTCACCACAAAAGCTCAAAATATTAGGACTACAGTCCTTTCCTTGTTCAACTACAGAATCCTTGATCTGAGCAAATCCTTCATCATAAAAGCTCAAAATATTAGGACCAAAGTCCTTTCTTACGTTGCTCCTTGATGCCCTTCCTTACTTTAGTCCTTAAATTACAATTACGTATAAGAACTTCGAATTATTATCAATTTTTTCGAAAAGTAATTAAAAGTTCAAAGCTCCATGTGCTTGAATCAC